GTGGATTTAGTGGATAACATGACGCGTGAAGAGGTAAGTAAGGGAAACAGCAACCTGGGGTGGATTGTTCTTCAAAGGGAGATACTGCTGATTCCTTTCTGTCCTCTTGATTGTGCCAGTTGTTAAGACTGAGATGTGAATCTAGGCCGGAAAGCATTTTCGGAGGTTGGAAATAAGGTGTGATTATGGAAAGTGTTTGGGGCATGGTGCTCAGAGGTGGGGGCGTGGTCTTCACAGGGACCCGGGTCACTTCAGAGAGGACAGTTTTGTCCCTCAGTGCATAGATGGGACCATGATGCTAGGATGAGCCTTAGATCCTTTAGACACTGGAGACTTTCTGGACCAGACAAGCTCTGCAGGAAAGATGCTTTACCTGAAGAAGAATGTACCAGGCAGCCGGCACTTATACACACCAACAGCATTAAAGCGAAAACAGGGAAACCAGTGCCTGGTGGAGGTTACTTCGCTGCGTTGACTGGGGTCCTGGGACAGTGGACAGCTGAAAAATGCCAGGAAATGAGATTGGGAAGAAGTGTAAACCAAGGGCAGATATTGACAGCAGTGCCTTGTTGGGACAAATGCCTATTTACTGAAAGAGGTAGTCTGGGAGAGAAAATCCAGCACTGAATGGGCTGAGTTTGCAGAGTGAACAGAATGTGGAGCAGTGACGAAGAGCAGGCAGCCGAGCGGTATTGACCAGAACAAACCCTGAGGTTGTGCACAAGCAACGAAATCCATTAGCAGCCATCCCGTCTGGTAAAAGCAAATGCAGGCTCATTGCAAAGGCTCAAAATGTACAGCTTTAAAAGTATGTAGCTGACCAAAAAACTGCAAAAAACCTCAACAATGGATATTATTTTGACATGAGCATCTTATCAGACATTCAGAAAAAATATGAGCTGAAAATTAGAAGTGTTACAGGGTTGGAGGAGATGGGGAGTGATGAGAAAGGAAGCCTTCCCCCCTCCCCTCACCACCCTTCAAAACACACACTCCTGATAAATGACTGGAGAAAATATCAACTAGAAGAGCACAGAGGAAAAAGGACAACTCCTGCTTCTTCCCCCAAGCAGGAATCAGATAGGTCATAACTGCTATTAACGAATGTCTTGCGAGGGGGCCAATACCAATAATAAAATATATTTTAAATACGCCAAAGAGAGAAAGCCAGCTAGTTGACCAGTGTGGCTATTTAATGACTGCTGGAAACAAAATGCAACCAAGGGTAAAAAGAAAATAAATCATACATTTTTAGCTTATGTCTTTCCCAAATAAGATTTTAGGCAGCTACCAACTCCTGTGAGACCTGTTAAGATATTTTGAAGGGATAAGATCCAACAGGAGTCAATACTCAGGATATTTTGGTTTTCACACTAGATCAAGATGACACCAGTGACAGTATCAAGATGATACCTACAGAAATAGTGAAAGAATTCAAGTATAGGTCACCAGAAACCCTTGCTATGACTTGTTTAAAACTTAGCTACTCTGTTAGGAGTACACACTGTTAGAGCTTCAGTTTATGAGTGGGACTGAGCTTTCTCAAGGAGGGGCACACATGATACCCCTTGAACCAAAGCTGGGGGCTCCTGGCCCATGACTAGCAGTCAAGGTCAGAAGCCCAGCTCCACCTTTCTGTAACTTGGGCAAAGTTGTTAAGCCCTGTGTGCCTCTGTTTCCTCATCTGTAAAATGGAGATAATGATGGGTGAGGACATGTGGAGCAACTCAAATAATGCTTAGCGCACAGAAAGTGCTTGGCACATGTGCCCTGGCAATGGTTCTGCTTTTGTTCCTTAAGGGGAGGCAGAAATGGAACGAGGGAAGGCAGGAAATGATCACAGAGAGGTCTAGGAGGACAGGACCAACCAAACCAGGGCTGGCGAGGGACTTGCCCCCTGTCCAACAAATAAATTGTGTCTACAACATACCTGCTAAGTGGTGTTCATCCTGTGCTGTGAGAGCCGGCCAAACCTGGTGGGAGCCTGTAGTCAGGGAAGGTGAGAGTTTAGAGGAGAGGAGCTTGCAGTCCAGAATAATCAGGAAGACAGATGGAGCCTGCATCACAGCAGATTGAGCACCGGACATGAGGACTAGGGGGTGCCCTTCTGTGATATTCTCTGTGTCTTGAGAGACTTGGACAAACAGAAAAGCAGAGTAGTACAGCATTCAGAGGGTAGTGACTGAAAAGAGATTTCAGAACATTTTAGATTCATCTGTGACAGCTAGAGCTCTACTGGATTACTTGGCATCTTGGGGATTTTTGAGTGTGTCCCTAAAATCTAAGGAGAGTTGGCCCTGGTAGCTTCAAGCTACTGTCATAGACAAACCAAAACAACCACAAAAAAGGTTTTATTCGAGCCAGCTGAGTGCCATGTGATCCAGTACAGCTCTTCAACCCCAACAGATCTCTGCCACGATCTGCTGTGTAAAGGCAGATGCACACGTTTTTTCACAGCTTGGGGCAGTCAGTACCACGGAGCACCCTCGGGGAGCTTGCGTCTAGGCAGGGGTAAGATGAGCACCAGTAGAAGACTTCCCCATGTTCTGGTCACATGTGCTTTGCCTCTCTGCAGCTCCTGTAGAACTCTGCTTGGCCCGTTTTCAGAAATGGCATAGACCATGCTCAGCGAGGAATACATGCGGGGAGGGGGAATCAGGCTAGAGCAGCCAATGTGCGGACCGGAAGGCAGGTGTGCTCTCACTGGAGCACTGCACAGTGAAGGAGGAGTGGGAAGTACCACTGCAAAGACCCGCTGGAACTAGCAAGTGTTGGGGGCACTGGGGGTTGAGTTGGAGAATAAGGCGCGGTGCTCATTGCCTGAAGGTGAAGGTTGACCTGGGGCCCAATGAGGGAGGCAAGGGGAGGGTGCTGTCCCCTGGGAGGAGCAGGGGCAGTCTAGTGGTCCAGAGGAGCTGTGACAGTCCATTGCATGTTGCAGCTTCTGGGCTGGGGCTGGGAGGGCTGTTCGGGGTCAAAGCTTCGGATCTGAGATGATGGGGGCTCCGTGATGGTGGGTGACTGCCCTACTCTGCCTGGCAGATTGAGGCCTGGGAGCAGGAGCAGCTGAGCCAGCCTGTCTGTTTTGACTGCTGTTGTATTGACCAGTCCCCGTTCCAGCTGGTGGAGCAGACATCCCTGCACAAGGCAAGTCCTTGCCGCCCAACCAGTCAGGGTGGCCGAGAGGGCAGGGAGGTGCGGGGCCGCTGTGCTGACCTGCTGCTCTTGCCCCGCAGACACACACGCTGTTCTCGCTCCTGGGCCTCCATCTTGCTTACGTGACCAGTATGGGGAAACTCAGGGGCGTGCTGGCATTGGAGGAGGTAACAGCATCGTGCCGACTGAGCGGCAGAAGGGGGTGGGGTGGGGAGGGGCTGGTTTAACATCTGGGAGGTCCCCAGCCTGCTCTATTTGTCACGCACAGATTAGAGGTGAGCAGGGATTGGGAGGTGGGGGCAGCCAGGGCAGGTGGAGAGACTGAGATAGGCCATGGATGGCACGGGTTTGGGGTGAGGGTTTCCTGGGAGGGGACAGGATGTGGCCGAAGGAGGCCTGAAGGTCCCTAGGAAGCAGGTTGTCCGGAAGCTTGAGGTCTGGCCTCTGCAGGAGCTTCTTGCCCTGCTCCTTCCTTCCCTTTTCCTGTCTTCTCCTGATTTCTCCCTCGTCGGCCTTTCTGGAGGTTCCGTGTCTTCCCACTCCTTGCCTTACACCGTCTCCATTCTTCTCTCCTGTCCGCTCCTTTCACACCGCCCCATCTCCCTTTCTCTCCACTCTCCAGCTGCAGAAGGCCATTGAGGGCCACACCAAGTCTGGGGTGCAGCTCCGCCCCCCCCTTGCCAGCTTCCGGAATACAACTTCAACTCCCAAGAACCCTGGGAGTGCGCCGCCTCCTGTAGAGACCTGGAGCCTGCCTGAGGGTGGGCCCGGGGCTCCTGCCTCCCCGGAACCCCCAGTGCCATCCCCCTCCCCAGAGCCCCCGAGCTGCCTGGCTCCAGCCCAGACGGACAGCGAGCTGGAAGAGCTGGAGCTGGTGGAGAGCCCGGGGCTGGAGGGGGAGCTGGCTGACATCTTGCAGGGCCCCAGTCTGCGGTCCACTGACGAGGAGGATGAGGACGAGCTGGTCCTGTGACCACTTCTGAACCTCCTCTTCAAGACCGTGGAGAGGCTGGGCCAGAGTGCCGGGGTGAGGGGAGAGGGCATGTCCTCAGGGTGGGGAGATCACACCTGGGAATTTGTAAATGTGAGAGTGGTCATATTAGAGGAGAAGTCCGAAATGGGGCAGAGAGTGGCCTCGGTCAGTCATTCAGGCCATGTGCCCCGCCACCCCTTGACAGGAAGGTGCCTCTAACCAGTGAAGGGCTTTGGTATTCCAAGTTCCCCTCTGCAGGGGTGGGATCCCCTGCCTCTCTGTCTCCCCTTCCACCTCCAGTCTCCCTGTGTTCTTGTCCCAGCACGTTCCTGGCCTCGCCCACCTGTCCATCATTTTCCAGCAGAAGTCAGGGGAACAGTGAAGGGAAGCCCAGAATGACTCTCACTGTGGTGGAGATGAGGTCACCTCATGGTGGCCTCACTGACGGGCCCCAGAATGCACCCACAACCTGTCTACACCCCTTCTTTCAGAGCACCCCTGCCCTGTCCTCCCACCTGCCCACATCCATCCCCATGATTGGCCTCCAGGCTCCACCCTGGCTCCCACCATCTGTTCCTAGGCAAGGGGGTTGGTGTCAGGATGGGAGACCTCTTTGATGCTTCCATACTTGGGCAGTCAGATCCCTGTCATCCCAAATCAGCAAAAGGGCAGTGACGTTAGCCTGCCTTTCCTGCTAGGCAATCCCAGTCGCTCTGAGCATCTAGAAGCCCTTGCTTCCACACCCAAGGCTTTGCTCCCTCCCTCCTATTACGCCTGTGTTGTTCTGCATCTGTGTTCCCTTTCTGACCTCTTCCTCCTCCTCCTCCCCCTCCCTGTCATCTCCATCAGCCCCCAAAAAAGACACTCATAGTCAAAGGTGCCAACACTTTGTTTAGTGCCATTGAACACAGCCCGTAGCCCTCTCCAACGTTACATCCCTTCCCTCTTCCCCCTCCCAAGGCCAAGAGAGAGAGGCTGCGACCTGAGGAGGGGAACTGGCAGTGGGCATTAGAGCCCATGCCCAAGTGTATATAATCTATAATATTTATATGTATATTTATATATAATTCTCTCTGTAATATATGTCATAGACTCTCTCTTGGGCCTGGGGTGGGAATGTCACATTAAGAAAACATGCTAAGACTGGCCATAAAAATGGATATTCCCCAGACCTGGAAGACGGAATATGGGATGTATGTGTACATGGGGGCCAGGAGGTTAATAAACTCATTCACCAAGATTCCTTCCTTAACACAAGGATGAGAAGGAAGGTTCAGGAGAGGTGGGTAGTGGAAGGGGAAGAATGGAAGATTTGGACTTCCCTGTAATAAAGTGAATAAAAAATGAAAGTGCACCCCCCCCACCAAAAGAAAATCATTGAGCAAGAGCAGTTTCATTCACAATAATAAAAAACAGCCCTGTTCTGGGACTGTTGTAAAACGTGCTGCACAGCCTTTAACCCCAAGGAAAAGCACTCCCCCACCCCCCACCAGCCTCTTCCTGCACATGCCCCTTCCCACCCCCTAAAATAGGCTATAAGCAAACCCCATGCACCCTGCCCCCAGCACCAGAGAAGCAATTCCTCCAGAAGGAAGAGTCCTAAGAGGATCCCAGGCCTACTCCTTGGGTCTTCTCCTGCTTCAGAACAGAAAGGCACCTCCTTGCATGGCGCAGACCCCCCCCCACTTCTGGTCTGCAGCCATGCAGGTGCCCCTGGGTTGCTCAGCAGCTCGCCTGTGAGCTCTGCCAGGTTCCCAGGTGTAGCCAGCTTTTGGCAGGGGCCATCTGGCTTCCTGGGGGAAATGAGGGAGGAAAGAACGCTGCTCCAGTCTACCTTTCCTAACTCCACGGGACCCTGAGCAAAAAGGAACTGTAATGAATGAACCCACTCACTGGACTGGGTGTCTGCTGTGGTCTGGGGGCAGAATACGGAGTCCGAAGGGAATAAGACTAAGAGGCAATCTGTTGAGAGGGTAGGTTGCACGAGGAGGGAAACAGAGATCCCATGGGACGGGGGGGACTGTGAACATACAGAACTCCAGAGACCTGTGGCAGGAGCCTAGGGGAAGGCCAGCAGCCAGAGCAGATAGCAGGCATGCAAGGCCACTCCCAGAGCTCCTGGACACAAGATCCTGGTGCCTCCTGAGTCAGGTCACATTATCAAACACAAGAAATACCTCAGACAGCTTTGGATTAGGTAAGTGACTCTTCACCTACCTGGGCTTACCATGCCCACCCGTTGCCTCCAAGAACTAACCCCTGGAGAACCAGTCCCCCTCCCCCGGAAGCCATGGGCCCGGCCTCAGCTGCATTTCAGGAGCACATGTGCATGAATGTGTGAACTCGATTGGGGGCAGGGTCACCAATGGACAGAAACACCCAACTCTCAGCCTCTTCATTCCAAAGGGCAGAAGTGTAGGGCCTGGGGGTGGGGGCAGTTTGTGCCCAGGGCCTGGGAGAGGGTGGCATTGCTGCCCTCCTGGCAAAGGAAGAAGCAGCAGGCCCCTGACAAAGTCTGGGTAGGATCCGGAGCTGGAGAAGCTTCCCGCTGCTTGAGGAAAGGACAATGAACCTCTCACTTCTCCCTACCCAGGGCTCCCGCCACTGCAACGGGCTGTCCCCAGTTCCACAGCTGCAGCTGCTTCACTCCACCCGCCCCCTCTGCTGTCACCGTCTCACTGAGTGTTGGGGCTTTATGTGCTGCACAGAATCCCCACCAGGATGGAGACTGGGTGTGGGAGGGCAAGCAGTTTCAAGGGCTTATGCCTCCCCCACCCTGTCCTGGAAGGAGGAATACTCAGATTCCCCTCTCTTCCTCCATAGAGGGCCCTGGGAGGTGAGGGAGGATGCCTGTGAGGCCCTCCTGGGAGTCCTGGGAGGAGCTGAAGAAGGGGCAACAGGAGCCAAGTGCCCACAGCGAACAACCCACGCTAGGCCTGACAGCACCAGGCTCCTCCCTCCGCCTCCCTCCACCCTGAGTCCCCAAGAAGTTATAAAAATGTAGAAAAGGCAAAGAGAAAAGTGTAAACAGCTCCAAAGAATTAGGGGACGGATGGAGGGAAACAGAGCCCTCATGCTTCCCCGTCTGGCCAGGCCACGGGCATTCTGGGACTCCCGGAGCAGGGATGGGAGAGGCAGAAAGGGAAGCAGGAGTTGGAGCAGCCAGCGCCAGCGGGGTCCTTGAGCGGGGCCTTAGGATCCTCCTTTCAGCCGCGGGACAGCCAAGATGCCAGAACAAGTGGTCGCGTTTGTTACTGGGCACATCAGTGACTCTCTGGCCTGTGGGCGGGCCTTGATGAAGAACTATGTTTGTGCCCCTGTGCATCCCATCCGCCACGTCCAACTCCGCCCATCTCCTGATCTCAGAAGCCAGACTCTCCACCACTAAGCAGATGTCTTCAGGTGGCCTCCCCTGTGCCCACCCAGCCACATCCAACAGCCCCTGAGGTCTGTTCCTCATAGTAGGGATGTGCTGGGCCACAGCTACAGAAAACAGAGTTGGAGAAAGCAGGAGTGACACAGGGAAAGGAGGCATTCAGACAGCCAGGCAAAGCTCCTGGAAGACGAATCCGAGGATGAAGAACAGATCCAATCAAGGGCCACAGGTCGTGCTATACTCCTGTCCTCAGCAAATACTGGTGCTTCATCATCACAGACCTAGAAGCCCTTAGCCAAGCAAAGCTCATAACCATCTGTTTACCCAGGCCGGCTCCCAGACCTGTGGTTTCTACAGTGAAAGCCTGGTTAAAATTCCATCCTGGCCTTCCACGTCCTGCCGAGGACTGGCAGCTCCTGGACTCCGCACGGTCTTCCGCTCGGGTCTCAGCTGTACTGCTGGGGGAAGGGAGGGGATTGTTGCAGCCATGCCCCTCAGGTGGGAGTGGAAGGTAGGGCGTGGAGTGGGAGGAAGCTAGTTGTTGGCCTCACCCTCCTCCTCATCAAAGGACTGCACACCTGAGGATGTGACGTCAGACACCTTCCGGCTGAGAGCAGTGGACACCTCGGGATCTTCCCGTGGGGAAAGTGACTCCAGGTCCCGGCATCCCGCATCCTCTTCCTCCTCGGGGGCCAATGGCCTCTTCTCCTCCTCAGCAGGGCCCCTTGCCAGGTCCACTGCACCCACCCCGGGGGCCCAGTCAGTGTCTTCCCCCAGCAACGGCAGGGGCTCCTGAGCAGAGTATCCCGAGGCAGGTTGGGAAGGCCCCATTTCATGCAAGCTAGGCTGTGAGTCATCAAATGCAGGGCCAAGATAGGATCCTGTGGCTGGAGAGGCGATGAGGGACTGGTCACTTGCTTCCCAGGCATCCGATGAGCCCAGACAGTACATGCCCTGCGACACATAGGAATGAGGCCATCCATCCATGGGGGCTTGAGCGAGGGCATCTGTAAAGAGAATCGTGGATGTGGGTGGGGTCGCAGAATACTCAAGGCAGTGACAATAGCACAAAGAAGTGCAGGTGAGACATAGCTGAGGGAGAAGAGGAAAGCTGGGACGGACAGAAAGCCTCAGGAGAACACACACGAATGAAGTAGCCCAGACAGGCGGGAGGCCTCTTAGGCCTCAGGCGTCGGGTTCTAGATCTCACCCTGACTCTCCATCAACTCCTGGTAGTTGTCACTGTAGTTGCAGCCCAATGGCTCCTGGGCCGAGTTGACACTCAGATCTTCACCGTCCATGGAAGACCAAGCCATGAGAGTGGCCTCGGAGATGGCAAACTGTTCCATGACGCCTGGAGAAGCAGAGTTAGTACAAGATAGTGCCGGGGACCCTTACACACATGCTGGGACAGAGGGACACCAATGTGGCCCTGTTCAATAGGAATATAACACAAGGCACTTAAGCAATGTTCAATTTTCTAGTAGCCATATTAAAGGAAATTTCTAAGAAACAGGTAAAATTAATTTTATATCTTATTTAACCCCATATATATGATTATCTTTCAAAATATAATCCATATAAAAATAATGAGATATTTTATTCTTTTGTTCATATGAAGACTTTGAAATCCAGTTGGTATTTTACACTTACAGCCGATCTCCACTCAGACTAGCCACATTTCAAGCTCTCAGTAACCACATGTGACTAGTGGCCACTGTATGGGACAGCAGAGCTTGTATCGGAATTCAAGGCAAAATTGTGAGGGACTTCCCAGAAGGTCGGATTTAGGAAGGGCTTGGGGCAGGGGGGTCTTCTGGTGAGCTATTCAAAGGGGTTGAAATTAAGGATTTCCAGATGTTTATCTTCAGATTTTTTACGGAATGATAGCTAGTCCTAGGTAGTCAAGGACAGAGAGATTTAAATGGGAGGACTCAAGAACAACAGAGAATTCCCCAGGGAGCGTCATGGGGCTGTAGGTCCACAGTGGTATCAAGTTGAAAGCTCAACGGATTGGAAAGAAGGGAGGGAGGATGGCATAGTGAGGCTGGGTAAACCTGGGGGGGGTCCCATTTAGTCAAAGCCATGAGTAAGTTGAAGCTTACATTGCTAGCCTCCATGGCTACATATCTGTCTCCCCTTCCTAGTGATATTTCTTCCAACACAGAGGTACCAACCTAGAGATACCTCCCTTCTCTTGTAGATCTATCACTCTTCCTAGGCATCTATGGAGACCTGCCACTAAGGCTCAGCCCTGGTTGTAGGCACACTACATGTCTGCCTCACACCTATACCACTTTCCTGGGACCAGACCTCTTGTGCATACAGCCCCCTCCTCACCCAGTCACTTGATCTTCCCTTGGTTTTCACAAGTAATGAGCCCAGGAAGTAAATCCATGACTGCAGTGTGCTGATGGGCAAAGGCTGGGAGAGATCCCCCAGGACTTTCCTTTATTTTTTCCCTCATGAAATGAGATTACGAGTAAAGCCTTTGAGTCCAAGCCCCTGCCTTTCTTCCTGTACTGGTAATTCCACCACATGGGAGGGAAGGGACCTACAACCCCAAGTAATTCCCCTCAATTTCTGAGACAATAATAAAAATAAGTTTGAGGGCACTTACCAGAATCAACAAGTCAAAGGACTTGAAGTGAGAGCTGGTCCCGAAATTAAGTCATTGTACAGAAAGAGCCAATGTTGCCACAGGGTATCAGGTTGGAGGGTCGGTCTCTGGTCATCCCAAAAACATTCCCCAAAGGTCTGGGGAACACATACCTGCTAGGAAGCGTGCCTCCTTCTCGCCATCGCTGAGGTCAGAGTAGGCATCAGTGTCTCTGCGCACGGCCTCATGGCTGTGTTGTGGCTGAATGGCTGGTGCCTTCCCCCAGCCCTGCCATTCAATCATATGGGCCACTCGGCCTTGGCCCATGGCTGTGGGCTTTGTCACATGGTCCTTCATGCTTCTTGAAATCCCTGAGGGGCCAGACATTACCCCACATCCTCTAGAACATCACACAACACTCATACCAGTTCCTCCCCATTAGCTGCACCTGAGTCTCATGGGACCCCACACCACTGGGGGCAGGTGTGCCCAAGGACTCCATAGATGAGGGGCAGCCTGGAGGGGAGAGGCTTGATGGAGAGGGCAAATAGTTCACAGGTAGGGGAATGAGGGGCTTCGCCAGGCCTGGAGGAGCAGGGAGACTGAGACCAGGAGCCTGTGTGTAGGCCCGTCAGGGTGCATCCCCCGGGCAGGAGTCTCACCTGAGAATGATGACTTGGCCAGTGCCCCAATGCCATAGGCGTTAGAGTTCCGCTTAAGCTTCGGCAGAATGGAAGTGGTATCCTCCATGGAGAGCTGGGATAGGGAATGTGGGAGGGGCAGAGGAATGGGAAGGCACGGGGCGCTTTACATGTGGAGTCAAGTTCACAGTTCCCAGGAGGAAGGATCTGAGGTAGGGCAGGTTGTAAGGAGACATTATACCCAGGAGTCCCAAGCAGGCTTATGCCCCAACAGCCCTGGAAAGTTTGGGAGGGTGGGTAGAGAAGGCAAGGCTCACAGCACCTGCCGGCACCAAGGAGCACTGGTTCATGGGAGGTCTAAAGGAGCAGGGAAGGACGAGGAGGGAGGGAGGATGCATGGGCAGGGGTGGGGAAGCCACACTCACATTGATGCCATCCCAGGAGAAGTCGGTCCGGGTTTGCTGTGAGGAGGGAGGAAGAGTATGGGCATCCTTTCCAGGGATGCAGATGTCCTTCCCCCTCCCCCAGAGGAACTTCCAGAAGTGTGTGAAGTAGGGAGCGTTTTCCTCAGATTAAGGTGGGGAATGAGGATCTCTACATGAATCCTCATGTGTCAAACATTTGGCTTGTGTTTTGTATTTTGAGGAAAGTAGGAGACAGACATGTTCTGTGAAAGTGTCAGTCTGAAGGAGGTTTTGGATGTTGTCTTGGAAGTTAGGAAGAAAACTGAGGGCCAGCAGCAGGGCAGCTTTGCTCGTGATGGTTGCTGGGGTCTTTAAGGGGTCCTCTGGTGCGGGGCCAGCTGAGCCCCGGGGCCTCACCTCGGTGGACGGCCGGTGGAGGCTGCTCCCATGCAGTGAGCTGGTACTGTCCATGTTGATTTGGTCGACATCCTTCAGGCCCTTCCAATCCACTGCAATCACCTCATTCCCTGAATTGGCCAGAGGTATGTTGCTCCACCTTCAACCTCCCTATGCCCACCCAACACACCCCTCCTTGGCCCTAGGAATCCTGAGGCCTGACACAGGGGCAGCCCTCCAGTCCTTCCCTTCCCTCCAGCTACCCCTCCTTCTTCAGACTGCTCTTTAACATCCCTACTCACCCCAAAATTTTGGTAGAAATCATAATGCTGAGCCAAAATAGTCAGGTTGAGCTCAACCAAGAATAGCACACTCAGAAAAAGTGTTATGTGGCCTTATTTGTTGTTGTTTAGATGGAGGGGTCAGCAGCTGGGCTGTAGGAGGGAAACAGTTCTTCATTCTCTCCTGAGGAACCTTGGCGGGTCCTATGTGGGGGTGTAGGGGAGCTGCGCTTTTCATCTGTTATGTTTCTACAAATGAGGGCAGAACGTCTCTAAGCTTTTCTAGGTGAAGGCATTATTATTTGTGAGGTGGAATGGGCGTCTCTTCCCTCCATTGGAGTTGGTGAACTTGACAGGAAGATTTGGTGGGGTTAGAGGCAGGAATTAGGTGTATTCACCCAGAAAAAGTGAGAACCCAGAAGGCGAAGAGTGAGGTGAAATCACTTCACCGCCTGTTGGGAGACAAGTGATGGATTAAAGATGAGCAGAGGAGGACAGCGGGAAGAGAGAAGGGGGCTGTTAATCTAGGAACTAAAAGAATAGGAATTCAAGTCAAAGAGAAGACAGAAGACAATGGTGTGGACAGGGCTTGAGGCTGACTGGGAAAGGGGGGGTGGGCAGAGGAGAGCGGTAGTTGTTATGGTGAGACCAGAGCTCTCTGCAAAGGGAGAATGCCGACAGGAGGGCAGGGCAGAGCCCTCTGGGAGTTGTGGGGAAGAGCCACTTGGAAGTTCAGAGGGAGTCGAGCATCACATGGCCCTGAACCATCTGACTTAGAGATCCTTTCTACACAAGAAGTCTTATGACTCTGAATTTAGGGTTAGGGGTCCACTCTTGAGAAGAGGTGAAATGAATGGGGTCTTGGGCATGAGGAAGCATTCACCATGCACCAACATAGCTGGTGCAGAAGGAAAGGGTTGTGGTTAATGGGTCTGAGGGCAGTAGGATCCCTCCAAAGTGGGCCCCTTTCCCTTGGGGCTACTGGGGAGTGGTGAGATGGGTCAGACCAGACGCTGTGGCAGGGCGTGGCATTGGAAATATGGACCTCTGGGCGCAGACAGCAGGAATGGGGCAGGCTGAGAACCCCAGGAGAGGAGAGCTGGGGAGGGGAGAGGGGGGAAGAGGGGAGGGCGAGGTGGCCTTTGTGGAGGAGGGAGAGCTGAGTCAGAGCAGTAGGGGGCAGGGAGGGGAGGGAGAAAACCCAAGAAGAGGTGAAAGCAGAGGAGGAGGGGGGTATCCATGGAAATAAATCGAGTCTCAGAGAAATCAGGCTTCCGGAGAGCGAGTTTGTTTGTAATAATAATACGAATTATTCTCTCAGCCTGAGGTCACCGGGGCGTGTAGGCGGGAGAAATTAGGAGTTGGAATGGGTAAAATTGGGGGGTTGGGGAGGGAGTTGTATTAATGTGTTGAGCTGTGAGATTGGAGTGCGTGCACGGGGTGCGGAATAAAGGAGTGGTAGCAAGGGAAAGGCTGAGGGGAACGGGCCACTTGGAAGCGCCCCGCGCCCGCCGCGAGTCAAAGGTAAATAAAGAGACGCCCCGCGCGCCCGCCGGCCTCCTCCGACAGGTGCAGCCAGGTCTCCGGCTCCCGCGCCCGGCCGGCCGGCCCCACCCTCCTGGCCGCGGGCTCCGGCCCCTCTCCGCTACCCCCCGCCCGTGCCTGCTTCCTCCCCGCGTCCACCGGCTCGTCCCCAGCCCTCCGAGCGCGGAACCCTTCCCCTCCGAGGCACCCGCTCATCCCGCCCCCGCCCTGGAGGGAAATTGCACGTGAACAAAGCGAATCGGGGGAGGCTGGAACCGCAGAAAAAGGAACGGAGAGAGAAAGAGATGGGGGCAAAACACCCAAGCCAGCGGGAGGCGGGGAGGAGCCCCAGGCTGGGAGCTCTTGGAGGGGTATTGCTCCAGAAACGGGGTGGGGGGGCCAGGAGGCTCTGGGGAAGGCAGAGTCGGGGCGGAGGGCCTGGCCGCTGAGGGTGAGGGACGGGCGGGCAGCGGAGAGCCGCGGAGGAGAGATGATGGAGAGGGACGCGCCCGCGGGAGGCGGCGGGGGAAGCCGGGGAGACCGGAGCACGCAGGGAGCGGGGAGGGATGCGAGCCCTGGCGGCGCGGGAGGCAGGCGGCACCGGGGAAAGTGCGGGCGAGGGCGGGCGGGCAGGCGGGTGCGGAGGGGTCCCTCGGGCGGCGCGGAGAGCGGTGGGGGAGGGGCCAGAGGACCGGACCCGCCGAGCCGGCCTCCGCCGCCCCCACCGCCGCGGTACCCACCCACGGTCCGGGAGCCGATGCAGCCCATGGCTCCGGGGCCTCCGGGCCGGGCCTCACCGACGCGCGGCGGGCGCCGGGGGGAGCACCGGGAGCCGCGCCGCCGCCCCAGCCGCTCTGCAGCGCCGCGGCTGTCTCCGCTCGGCTCCGCTCCCCCCGCCCCTCTCCATCCCTCCCCGCGGCAGCCGCCGCCGCCGCCGCCGCCGCCGCCGCCTGGCTCCCCCGCCCGGGTCGGCTCGCGGCGGCGGGGAGGGGGCGGCCCGGGGATTGGCTGCACGCGGCGCCTCCCCGCCCCTGCTCTGACCCTGCGCCCCTCGCGGCGATCCCTCGGGAGCCCGCGGTCCGCGGGGCCTCAGCGCCACCGCCCTCCGCCCGCCCCGCCCCTGCCCCTGCCCCTGCCCCTGCCCCTGTCCCTGTCCCTGCCCCTGCCCCTGCTCCACGCGGGGGCTCCTCGCCTGCCCCGTCGCCCCGCTCTCGGGGGGCTGGCGGAGATCCGGAGAATGCCTGCCTCGAGTCTCGGAAGCTGGGTGTAGAGCCCGGGGCCCACCCTTCGGTCCCGGGTGACCGATTTTGAGGGTCGGGGTTGGGGATGCTCACAGAGAAAGTGGGATGGGGGTGAGACTAAAGCCTGGTTGAAGGGCCTTGGCCGCCAAATTCCGCAAGCACTTGTTTTCATCCTGGGGCTGCATCTGGGACACACACGGGAGCGTGATTGGATACAGCTTTGGTTGCTGTGCGTTTCCGGTGCGCTGTTTTATCCACCCAAACAGATCGCAAAGTCTTTGAGAGTGGATGGTGGGTTAGACGCTCGCTGGAAATTTCGGGGATGGGTGTGGAGTTGATGCAGATACTCTCCAGGTCTGATTGAGGATGGGAGGGAGAGTAGAATGAGGATAATTCAATCCTAGCTAGAATCAAATTAAAATGTCAGGACCTGAGGCTGTCTAGAAGGCATAGTTTTATACCAGTTTAACTTTCTGGATCCTTGGTCTTCTCTGACAAATGAGAGCGCGCAGCCAGAAAGCAGTCCAAAGAGGCAGGATGCCCTCTGGCAAGTGGGAGGTGTCGGGTAGGTACCAGGGGCCTCCTGGGTTGGAGATCGGTAGAGATCCAAGTGGCAAGGGCAAGTGGGCACGATAGTTACAGCAGGCAAGAAGTGGTATCCAGAAAAGTCACGTGAGAAAGGGTAAGGAGACTTGTCTAAACAGACCCAGTCACCTAAAGTGTGAGAGAACCGAGCAGACCAGATCCGGTGAGCACCGATGACAGAGCAAATGCTAATAATCCAGGGTCTGTTTGCTACCCGCCTGCCAGGGGTTCCTGGTATGGGCACATAATAGTGAAATAGATTAATCTTATGTATGCAAGTTTTTAACCGTTAGAGTATGAATGGGAAGCTAAACTTTAAGGTGATAACCACTCATTCTGTGGAGTCCCTAATGACAGGTATGGGAAAAGATGCTAATAATCTTAATTGCAGGTCTGGGAGATGGGATTATGGAGAGAACTGATCTTTGGTCTCTGTGCATGAAGAAATAAACCAAAAAAGAACCACACAAAAAACATTACAAGAGAGAACAGTCATAGGTCTGCTTATACCGTGATTGTGCAGAATGATTTGTGGCAGGATTTGATACCTCCTTATTTTGACAGGGGAGAAAAGTAGTAAGAATTTTTTCCCCATATCTGCTATTATAGGTTATACAAAAGAAATATCAAATGGTTTCTTTCCTGGCAGAATATACTGTTTACCTGCAAAGGAAAGGAAATGGAAAGATGGTTAAAAAAAGAAAAATAGAAGAAGAAACCCCACTGCTACAGCAGTGTCAGTCAACCTGCTCTTGTTTGAAAGAAAGCATTGAAGGGAAATCTGCATGTTAGGAGCTAACAGACCGAGGGGCCAGCTCTGCTCACCCATTCCCCCAGAAACTGCTCTCCCCACTGAAACTGCTCTGATTCCATTATTCCCGCAATTACTCTGGCCCAAACATGGATACAAACTCCTTTGGCTCCCTTAACATAGCTGCATAAATCTGGATTTATCCAAATGATTTCTCCAAATCAAGTCAACACAATGGATCTTAGGTCTTGAAGATGCAGTCCCATCCCACATTCTGCCTTAAAGGTATTTCCAGCTCCAGAGAAAAGTAGAATATCATAGGCACAACACTAACCTGCTTCCTTCCTCCTTCTTATACAGGATCCTCTTACTTCTCACCATTTAGAGACATTCTCCCAGTCTCTTTGCCATCTTCTATGTCAAGGTCAAAGATTCCAGTTCTGGTATGAACAGGAGCAACCTTTCTGGAGGACAATTTGACAGTACTGATCAAAAAAATCTTCAAAATGTGCATTGCTGTTGTTACTAAATTGTGACACAGCTATTCCATTTATAGAACTATTCTAAGGAAATAAAAATAGAATGTGGACAAAGATTTAATCTACAGGAGTCATCAGAGTACTGTTTACATAACAATGAAAGTTTATACACAACCCACATGATCAGACCTGGGGATTGATTAAATAAATTATGGTACATGCCTATAATAGAATACTACGCAGCCATTCATAGATAATATTTTATAACTGCATTTGTTGACAGAAAATTATTTATGATATATTGTTGCATTTTCAAAAGCAAGCTATAAGAATTACACTACCAATTTTTGTAAAATCACACATACTCTTCTGCTTTTTGTCAGGGTTTCCATCTAAGTACTTACAGGATTCCCTGAGGAAAGTCTATGTTTTACAAATGCCCAAGCCTACTCACCAGTTACCATTTGGACCTCGATGAAATTACAATACTAAAGACCATTTCCAAAGTCTAACAATATAGGACTTTGTCAGAATGCCCCAGTATGGCATTAGCACTTCCTAACTGGTCCCGTTTGGGACGCAACCTCTAGGTGAAATTATGCTTCCATTCTCTCTGTGATTGCTGCTTCACTTTATTGATCTTCTGCAGATAGCTCTTGGACTGAAGGAACAGACCAAGTTCAGAGACAATACTGTCTAAAACAGGGACTCTTGTCCCAGGATTTATGGACAGAATCCAGAGTCCATAACTTTGGATGGGAACAGTTGTATCTTGATGTTCACTAGCTCATATCTGAAATTCCCCATGTACTTCAGTTATGCATGTAGTGTTAGAGGTATTGTATTGCACTGTGTCTTTATCACCCAAAGAAATCACAGATGCTTCTATTATACCACAATTGTTGCAGATTTCTACAATAACCTTATGTTCATCACTATTTTGAAATTACAGTAATGTTGAACCTGCTTCCATATTTTCTTATTTCATGCTTTTATAAAGAAGCAGATATAAAACTATTACAATTTTTAACTTTTTAAATACAATTGATTCCTGTTGTGATCCTATATATTATATTTATGCATTTAGTATTATTTTGAGAGGGAAACCATGAATTTTCCAGATTGCCAAGGGGTCCAGGGTCCAAAAAAGTTTAAGAACCCCTGGTTTCTAGATATACTTTTGGTGCAGTGGTGGTAGTTGAGGGGGATGTGAAGGAGGTGCCTCTCATTCTGCAGTTTAACAATCATTTTAACTGTACCAGCTTAAATGACCAAGCAAGACACTGAACATCTCATTTTGAAATCTGGGTCCCCAAGAGAAAAGATACATCCTTTTCATCTTCAGGACTGAAAGAGCAACACCAAAAGCCCCATGCCTGCTCCCAACAAATGGAAAGACAGCTCTAAAACACAAAAATTTAATAAAGTATGTATTTTGTTTAATGAGAGACACTAGATCACAGTTAAGGGCCTGTGAAAAGATCCCACCGAAGGGGGGAAGTG